TATATATATATCTCAGGCACTATATTGTCTACTGCTTTTTTTGGACACAGCTTAATTTGGCAGTTTAAATTGACCACAATCCAACCCAAAGCAAATTTTTATGTGCGGTTTTTTTGGTCAAAGGTTTTTTTTCTGTACAACATCTGTTTAAGAGGCAGGAAGCCTTGGTTGTTGTCCTGGAAAGTAGGCTGATAGTATTGGTGAGCTTCCAGACTTGGTTAAGGTCGGCCTAACTTGAGCTGGAAAAAAGGAAAAAGTAGCTTTTTATAATTAGAATAGGAATACATTCAATAACATGCATTTTTTTTCTATTGTTTTGTATTAGGCTTAGCTGTGTTACCTACGTGTTAAGCTTACCAGAGCTTGCATTTTTTTGTGATTTGGCAGGTGCGCTCCCATTTCTTTTCAGGTACTTAACATCTAAACCAGCAGGTTCACTGTAAAAGATGGAAAGTAACTTCATTTTAGAAGTATTGACAAACGGCATCACCACTACTATTCTGCAAATGTCATTGTAGGCACGCCGGATAACGTTGTAGAAAAGTCACTCGCACTCCAATAAGAATTTCAGTCAATGTTCTTTATTGACAAAAGACTTGTCACATCATATAGCGACGTTTCGGGAACCAGATAGATCCCTTTGGTTCCGAAACGTCGCTCTACGATGTGACAATTCTTTAGTCAATAAAGAACATTGACTGAAATTCATATTGGAGTGCGTGTGACTTTTCTACCACGTGATACTGATCTGCAGAGGTATCTGCTTTCATCTCAGCACCCACCCATTATCTTGGGTTATACCTGGTCAGGAGTGCGACGGGATCTACTTGAATTACGTTTGGCACTCCAGAAATAAGAAAACACTATTAAAGCCTCCTATTTTTTACAGCCAAAGAAGGTACCATCTTAGCCTCCATTTATATCTCCAGCTACTATGGTGCTGTACATATGATCGGCAATAACACCAGCCATGAGGGGTTGAAAGTTCACTTGAGAGCTAACGAACACTGGCAACTGTGACAATCACCAGAAGCATGCAACCATTTGGGAAACCATTAAATCGGTGGGTTTAGGTCCGCTTTAACTAAAAAATAAATAGTACAAATTAATACAAATATTGTGCTGAACAACACCTGGTGAAATAAAGTATAATGAAGTGTCTATGCTGATAATTTCTAATTAGCTATTTATGGTAGTTGGCTATGCAGATGGCTACCCAACAGGGATAAATGGCCAGAACAAAAACCCAATGTCAAAGTACCAGCAAGCGAGCTCCTGAAACTGCATCATACGAACCTTGAAATTAGCTCAATTAAAAGACTTAACCAGCAAGATTTAGAGTACATGCAAGAAAAACAAGCAAGAATAATTTAATGAAAATTAAGGAGACCAAACTGACAAGAGCACAAGTAACAAGTATCAGAAAGCATCGCCAAGCTGATGGATTTCAGACAGATTCCAACAGAGCAACATCCTGCTACAATCAATTTTTCAAGCACAAATATCGGAATCGGAGGGGACACAGAGCTGATGAGACACTGGCTCCCAGTGCAGAGAGAGAGCTAAGGGCCCAAGTAATCGACAATGAGAATCGTTGACAACAATTCTCATTATCGATCAATTTGTTGGTTACAGCCCTAGTCTAGTATTCGACTATATAAAAGGTCATGTGGGATTAATTTAACTCTTTAAAGGAGGTTTTGGGTACCATTGCTGGCATATGTGACAATACATACAAATATTTGGCAATATAATCTGCTCATAACATTAATTCTGCTGGCAAAAGGAGAGGCAGTTTTACCCATATGGACAATTTTTAACTTTTAAAAATTGCATCAAAGGAGCAATATTGGGTGACAGGTGCAAAGCGTTCACAAACACATCACAGGTCATATTACTAAACCCTACACATCAAGAACCATGTCCAAATGAAGAACATTGAAACATATTTTCCTGTTGTGTGGACTTTAAGAAGGCCTTCGATTCAATGTAGTACCCAGGTCTATACTTTAATAGGAATAGAAGGCAAATCCAGTTATCAAAAGAACAAATTACTTCAGGTAGGCCTGTTGAGTTAGACAGTCCAACTCTGTAAACATATACATTGCTGCTGGCCATACACCAATAAAAATCTAACAAATTCCTTCATCCACACTAAAAAGAGTACAGATAGGCAACTAACCCGATGTGTATAATGTATTCTGACCGCAGGTGCTTGCTGCTGTCAGAATATAAGATCAGTGGCTTCAGCTTATTCGCTGTAATCACTGTTTGGCTAAAAAATGTCAGCCTGGCAACCTCGAGCTGGCAGGACCAGCTATTGTAAGAATTTCAGCAGATTCCTGTTAATTAGTCCAAATGCTAACAGTGTATGGCCAGCTTAATAAACTGGCTGCAGGTCTAGTATCCTTTGCAGCACCAGGACAAAGTCTACATAGTACAATATTTCCTAATGTATGTGAATGATTTCCTATTACTATCACCTGCAGACAGAGGCCTACAAGGCAGTGTGGAAGTTCCAGAGAATTAAAGTGCAACATGGGCACTACCCATCAATATAAAAACAAACATCATGGTCTTCATCAAGGAAGAACACAAAATGAATCAAAAGTGCTTTACTTTTTTCATTTACATTAAACAACTGCACTATGGATGAATCGAACAGCTACACATAACTTTGTCCTGGGAAATAGACAATAAGGAAGTTTGAGGCCAGCCATAGAGTTTCTGAAAGACCAGCATTGCAGAATATTCTATTCCATCAGGAGACAGATATACCACATAAAACCACTGAAAAGTCTTGCTTAAAATCGTTGACAGCATCATCATCCTAATCCTCTTTTATGGCATTGAAGTAGAGTGCCCTGTCTCTGAACCAGACAAACCCAAATGGGATACCAGACCAACAGAAATATTTCATCAGGAATTCTGCAAGCAACTGCTTCAAGTCTACTGAAGCACCTTCAACAAAGCTGGTCAGGCTGACCTCAACAGATTGCCTTCATGGCTTGCAGTATAGAAGAGAGCACCATCCTACTGGGACCACCAAAGAAACAGCAGCCCCAACTTAAACCCACATTAAAACTTTTATTACCAACAGGAATCAAGCAAAAGTTGAGAGCTGCAACATCTCAGCACCATGCCCATCCAAAACACCCAACAATATAGTATGACAAAATCTCAAATAAAGAACATAATGCACATATCCATAAAGAAAAAAAAAGAGAATGTCAGAGAATGGAGAAATGAAAAACTCCTAGAAACTACTTCAAAGTCACTACAGAGAGGTTACAAATTATCCCCATACCTGGAGATGCAACATGACTCTAAAGACAGACTGATCGTGAGTGCATACAGACTGAGCATACACAGCCTGTAAACTGAATCAGAATGGCATAGACCATCCAAGGCAGAGGTCCACTTGCTATTGTAACTAAACTGTGAGACACTCTCTTCTCATCCTGCACCTTACTTCTATTTAAGAGGAAACTCCACATTCTACTAGGAAAAGAGGAGCCGATGGTGAAAACAGACTGTAAATCCCCAAACTGGACTCCACCCCTAGATATTATCTCAACTTAACATTCCTGGACTCACCTGACAGCCCAACCCACAACTACTTTTCAGTTGCTTTGGCAATTCTAAAATGTGTTTGTTCCTGCCAATAGGAGAGGGAGAGGAGAAAAAAAGAACAAAAGCTTCTGCTTTACTCTTACAAACCCTCTTAAAAATAGTAACATACAAAATATGTAAGCAGCAGTTTAATAACTTGTAAACAAAACCAAACAATGAAATGTACACCAAAAACTTTAAAGTAAAAGCTCTGTTTAAGGACAGTCATCAGGCCATGCCTGCTATTATGCTATCATAATCTTGTTAAGCTATGTTGACCTTCTCAATTGTGCTTTCACTGCACAGTGATGAGTTATTGGTGCTTAGTAACAAATAACAGGTCTTTAGTAACAGTTGTGCATTAAAGTTAAAGAAGTTTCAGAGAGGCACAGAGATAAGGGTTTATGCCTAATATGGTAATAACAGGCATTCCAGGATACTGTTCCATGGCAGGTCTTTTTACAGTTTAAAATTGACAGCGGGTTCACTTTAAAGTGCCACTGTGACCAGGCTAATTCCATGCAAATGTTTACATATTCTTAAACAGTAAATGGAGTTTAAAACATGTAGTCACTGACCTCTGTAGCAGCAGATACTGTGAAGTAATTCATCCTCAAATTATACAGTGTCGAAACCAAATTTAAATAATTTCCCTGCATCTTTTGTTAATTTGAGGATGAACTGCTCTACTAGGCCTGCAGCTACAGAGCTTTTTTAAGGGCTTTGTGTTAACGCTCATTTACTGCTTGTTAGCTTTAATTCAAATGAAACCCATGACCAGACATTGGATAGTAAAATGCTGTGTACCTTGAGGTAGGAGGTAAAATAGGAGTTGATGTTGTAGGCATAGGCCTGGACTCAGTGGCTGAACTACAATCAGCAGGAGTATTTACATTGAATCGTACCTGTTTGAAGAAAATTATAAGCTTTTAGAACGTATGATTATTAACAAAGTAAATATAAACATGGTGCTTAGAACAACAACAAAAAAAAAAGATAGAAAAAAAACAAAAACTGCATTCTTATCAACAGTGCAAGAAATAAAAAACAAACAAACACCAGTATATTATTTTCAGTAAAGTACTAAAAATGTGCCCAGAGTCAATAAAAAATGTGGCATAGTAGAGAATAAAATGTTTGGTGCCTGCCTGCGGGCCAAGCCTGGATGAACCTGAGGTCGTAGTTGGTGCATTCATTCGCAAAGTTGGGGTATAGCTGTTGGTGTAAGATTTGGAAGCTAGAGAATGGCCAACTGGATTAAAAATTGTTGAAGCCAAGTAGGGATCATTAGCAGTAGAATATGGCAGCTAGGAAAAAAAAAAAACATTATTTGAGGATATACCACTAGTCTAATACCACTCTCAAAAAGGAAAAAAAAAAGAAAACCTTCAAGAAATACTGAAAAACTATTTCCTAAGTTCTGCTTTTTAGACTTCATATGGCAACAACAGGTTCCTTTAATGTGATCATTATAGTTTTTAAAATGTGCATTGGTCAGGCACTGACAACTTTGGACAAGCCCCTTTTCTTTGTTCGAGAGTAGTTAAATCTGATTGGTAAGGGTTATTAGGAAAAAAAGGACAACATTGTCTATGTTTTCACAACATATTTCAAGCCCCAATGTGAACCTGTGCTTTGCTCATGCAAAACAATGCAACAGGTTTACTTTGAAGCTAGTCACAACAGCTGCATTTTACCCCTCACCCAAACATTACCCCACTGTTTTGTTCTGCTGCCAGTGAGAGGAAGCCCTAAAAAGCAGACATATCTTCGAACATGTGACAGCACTAGGTGCCTAAGTAGCCACTTGCCAAGTACCAGTGCTGTCAAGTGGGAGAGACCACAAGTCACATGCTCCCCTGTACCCAGATGTACCAAGTATTCCTTGTCCCTGTAGGCTGAACATAGTGGTGAAGGCACTAAGAGAAGGAGAGTATGTGCTGCTGGTAGAACCACCATTAAAGTGAACCTGTTGCTTTGCCCTGAATTGGCATTAGACCAGTTTGCTTTAAAGGAAAGCTGCAGCAGGGGAAAAATATAGGCTTCCACTGCCGACATCTGAAAATTCTAGTAGTTCAGCTATCATGTTGAGCCAAATTCAACATGATAAAATCAGATCCTGTGTCCATTCTGTAGATTAGTGGCTCAAAATAATGGCGCTGTACAAACAATTCTAAACGTTTACTACTATATTTTAAATCATATTTTCCACAGCCTACAATGTAGGGTTTAGAAAGTCGTCGCTCATGAGCGATCCGGATCTATTGAGCGGTTCCCTCAGAGGAATGAAAGAGCGGTGCCTCAGTAAAAATGAGCGCCTGTTCTTCTGGTTTGTGCTCTGTGGATGGAATGTAGAAGCAGAGCCAGAGAGTGAGACAAGAGCGTGAGCGGCTCTTGTAATATGATCTTAGCGTGAGAGCCAGGCTTCTGCCAGCCCCGCCCAGCCCACCCCTGCAACCAATCACGTCTGTGAACCAACAGAGACGGATCTGTGAGCCCAAGAGACGGATCTCAAGAGTCAGACAGTCAGGAATGTTTGGGTTCTTTCGCTCCTTTGCATCTTTGAATTTAGATCTCAATGGATCAGTAATGATATAGTTCTTCCGCTCCTCGTGTCTTCTGGATGATACCGATTTGAGATCTGCTCAGAGAGGTTCACTCATTCTACACTACAGCATTTCTCCGTCTTATGAATTGTGCTGCTGTTTTAAAGGTAAGTAAATTCATGGGAATGATAATAATGAGTGTAGCAGGGGAAGCGGGGTA